GCTGGAGACCGGTCCCTGCGGGCTGAGCAAAGGTACCGGGGGGGGGGGAACGGCCCTGTCCCCCGCAGGCCGCCTCCCCCGGCGCCTTAGCGCGGGGCGTCCCCGCTTGGGGCAGGGCTCCCCGCAGCCCTTCCCTGGCCCCTTCCTGTCCGCGAAACTTTCGTCGTGGCTCATGAGCGAGGGTGGGGGTTCGGCAGGGTTTCGCGCATTCAAATGGTTAATGCAGAGGAGCGGCTCGGGCAGGCGCGGCCCTTGGTGCAGGGTGAGGTGCTGTGGTGAGCTCCCCTGAGAAACCTCCCGGAGACCTCAGGGGAGCCTAGAGAGATGGGCAGAGTGAGTGTTTGCTGGCTTTCACGTGTGCCTAAGGGGGAAAAAAAGACAATTCTGATAAAGGATCCTTCTTACACCGAGTGGCGGATGTAGATGGGATACAGAAAAAAAACCCTGAGGATTCTGTCTCTCTCATTCCTCTTCTTTCCCCAGCTGTACATGCTTTAAACAAAACACACTTCTATGAAGTCAGAAAGTTACCTTTTCCAAGAAGCTAAAATAAGATTTGCACAGCCATTGTAGGAAGTGTATCATTTTGATTATCAGTAATTTTATTATCTATGATAATATGTGGTAACAGTTTTACCTTGAAGATCAAAGCGAAGTAGCTAGGTCCTGACAGATATGTGTGTATACAGACAGACACACAGATGTTTGCAGGTATCCCATTTCTGTTACCAGGTCTGTGCTTCAAATCTAGCAATGATGCCTAAGGTGCTCAGCCCTGGGCTACCCTGAGAATTCAGAGTACGATCAGCAGGCGGCACTGTCACTTACTAGTCTGCAGCCTGACTTCTTTTACAGGACCTTATTTGCTTCAAATGACATCAGTATGACAGCACATTCCGTGCAGAATAGGTGAATTGCTCTGCCAGATCTCATGCACGTCTATAAACAGCAGGTTTGATTTTTTTTCGTTTGCAGATCGCTTACTGTCACCTGAATTCTGAACGCAGGGCGTCATGGCTCTGAGTTCTTTTGAAAATCACGTCATTAGTTCCAGAGCTGTTAGCAAGCTGTGTGCATCGTTATACTAAAAGGATTAATATTTTTGTGTTACGCTGCAGAATGATCAGGTTCTGTCAAACAAGTTGAATTATCTCTTCATACTTTAAATAAGTCACTGATTATAAAAATAAGGTAGTGTTTCATGATTTTGACTCTTCTAGAAATTGGAATCTCCAAAGAAGAGGCACTGGAAGCATTACAGGTTGTGAGGCAGGAATGTCACGGGGATGCAGCAAGGACTGCTGGGGGATCAGGTGCCACCAGAAAGTGCACAGCACTGGAACTTCTGGAAGAAGAGCAAGCCCAGGGCTTCATCATCACCTTTTGTTCAGCACTAGACAATATTCTGGGAGGTGGTGTGCAGCTAACAAAAATCACCGAGATCTGTGGAGCGCCTGGTGTTGGGAAAACACAGCTATGGTATTTTATTTTTAGATTGCTTTTGTGCAGCTGAGAATCACTTTGCTTTGTTTAGTTTAACTGTGAAGAGAGTTCATTTTTCTTGTTGTCATGACTGCAATCTCTGATTCTTATATAGCATTATAAATATAATAATGATAATGGCTGTACTGCTTCCTGCTCCATGTATTCCTCAGCAGAAATGCCACTTTCGGAGTGAGTTGGGAGGGGAAAGCTTTGTGATGTAAATATTTCCATTTTTTCTGTTTCCCATGGCAGTATGCAGTTGGCAGTAGACGTACAGATCCCAGAATGCTTTGGGGGCGTAGCCGGAGAAGCTGTGTTCATTGATACTGAAGGAAGTTTTATGGTAGACAGAGTAGTGGATATTGCAACTGCCTGCGTGCAGCATTGCCAGCTTATTGCTGAAGCTCATCGAGAAGAAGGTACGTTGCTAAGTCGTTTCTTTCTGCCTAGTAGGCTAGGAGCTGAGTGAAACGAGTGTCTTCTAGGCTGCACTTTTGCAGTTTGAGGGTTTCAGCAGCAGTGCTGGCTTAAGGAGTTCTTGCTGCCAGCCTTTCATTTCCAACTCTGTGTGTCATACCCTGACCTGCGTCAGCACGTGGAGCCATGCTGCAGACTGAGCTGATCGACTTTAAGAATAATTCTTTTTCTACGTAACAATTTGTGGGGTTTTTAGGTTTGTGGGTTTTTTGGCTTTTGCTTTTTTTCTTTTTTAGCACTTTAATGATCAAATTTACAGCAAAATGCAAACACAAGTCTGTCAACTGAGGGATAATGTGCTGCAACGCAGGGACAGGCAGAGCAGCTGGGGCAAGAGAAGAGGAACGGCAGAATTTCTTAAGGCAGTGTTGCTGCTGAAGCCCCATATTGTAAAACTGCAGCTGGAATTCAGCTCCTTCATAAGGTCAATATAGCCAGCTTGCATTTAATGAAGAGTTTTATTCTGTAAGTCATCGGTATGTTGGGGATACTGACACAACTTTTATGTTACTCTTAGAGTATTTTATGTGGCAAACTTCTGTTTGAACAGAGGTAAAAGGACATTGTACTAAATGGGCTACTGCCTGTACATTAAACAAGGGATGATTAATAGACACTGTTGTCCTCTGGTAGTGTTCTGGCTTGAAAATGATTTACTGGAAAAGTTATTTTTTCAGAAATAAATTTTTCATTTTTGGAGCACTCCCTTGGAGGCTCCGGTGTGTCTATGTGCAAGTGCTGAGATAGCATCTGCTCACCGCCTTCCTGACTTTCAAGCCAGATGGAAGGTGTGTTTCCCACACTCTTTACCTTGACTGCTTCTGTTTCTGGGGGGGGGTTTGCTGTTGCTATATGTGGAAGGCATAGTTTGGTAGAATGATGAAAGTAGCAATATGCTAGTACAGACTTCTGACTCATTTACTCATCTATTTATTTGTTCTCAGATCATCTAAAAGCTTTGGAGACTTTCACTCTTGAAAGTATCCTTTCTCACATATATTACTTCCGTTGCCGTGACTACATAGAGCTTCTTGCACAGGTCTACCTCCTCCCAGACTTTCTTTCAGAGCATTCAAAGGTAAGGGTTATTGCACACTTATCAGAAGATATTACTCATCTTCACACTAAAGATTTTCAGGGATGTTCATCTGTTATAGTAAGAGTAACATGAGTAACACCTTGGTACCTCATCAGCTTGGCAGTAATATATTGGCTGATGCCAGAGTACAAATGTAAAGCTTGCTTCCTTGTTTGCTTTTTCGTTCCCATCCCAATTACGCTTGAGAGTAATTTTGCTTTTGCCATCATCCTGAATCTCCACTTTGAGGTGAGGATATTGGATCTATGTCGTCACGTGTTGTTACATTTCTATGAGCACCGAGTTATGAATCATCACAAAACTGCTTTACAAGAGTCTCTGAGCCAGGTGTGCATGTGATGACCATGATGCAGGGGATCAGAAAGGCTTAGCGCCATTTTTTTTGTCCTAGAAGATCACTGAGGACCAGAAGCATCCTGCACCATCTTGGCATCCAGAAAGTGACTCTTCTCCTTCTTCCCAATACATCTTCTGTTGCTACAAGCAGCCAGAGCCTGCAGCTTGACTCTTGGATGGACTACAGCCAGAAAGTTTCTTAGTACCTAGTGTCTTAGTGAAATGCTACTGTAAGGCAGATTTTCACCACCTCCCTTCCAGATTTCTAGATTCTGCACAGCAGATCACTTCCTAACAGGATTCAGGGAAGATGACTTGTGCTTTATTCTAACAGAGCACAAATCGGTGTTGTTTAGTTAGATTGTCTTTTGCATATAATTTTCATTTTTGGAAGCTGTTATGTTCTTGAAAGTGCAGATGGGAGTCTTTACTTTTGCTTAGCGTAGTCTGGTATTTCCCTTTCTCTGCCAGGTACTAACGGTGCCCTGTTGTGTTTGCTCTTGTGGAAAGTACATGGCTTCATTAGCACAGTTACATTGGGTTGCAGATCTCTGGTACCATCTGTGCTGATTATCTGTGCTTGGCCTGGAGCCTGCAATACTGAAGGTTGCAGGAGAACTGTAAGACCTTCTGGTGATTCCTTGGACAGGCTATAAGTGACTTGACAGATTGCTCATTGCAGTCCATCTCTCATTAAAATTAGTCTGATCCCTCTGTGCAGACCTGGAGCTGAGACTGGGACCACAGGAAACCTCCAGGTTTTAAGTTTTTTTGGAGAGAGACAGTTGTAGAGAGTGTCATTTGGAAATACGAATTAGTTTGAGATCATCTTAATAATATGAGAAAGACCAATAATATGAAAAAGACTATGTTAGAAAATATTCTTGTCATAATAAACATAGTTCTTTAAAGTCTAATGGAGACAAACTGACACGGAGAAGGCATGTGTTACCAAGCTTTCTTTATATAGCCTACTTCTGAATACTTTAAGTGTACTTGTTTGCTATTTTATAAGTGCAACTGGGAGAAAATAAGCTAAATTGCATCCTACGTGGACATACTCATCTGATAGTCAAGTTATATAGCTATGTATACATTCCTTTTAGTGTGAGCCATGTTTATACTGTTAAACTGATTGTTCCTAAAGTCAAAAAATTATGCATGAGGAAGATTTACAGGCTCATAGAAAAGAATTTGCAGGAAGGAGGAAAAATGAGAAAACAGAAGAATATCTTACTTTAATTCTAACTATTTAATCTTCTTTTTCAAATTAAGATTTTTTTTTTTCAATTGGAGGCCCAGGGCCATTTCACAGAGTGATGTTTGCCGCAGGCTTGTATGTTCCAGTCACAAAGCGACTTCCCAGTAATGGGTTAAATCAATAATACACAAAATCAGTTTTCTTGTGTTATTTCCAATTTGTTATCTTGTGCATTAATGCAAGAACTTGTAGATACCTAGGATCTGAGTGACATCTGAGCATGCAGACACTGTAAGACTATCCATCTCCCTTCTGTATTTCAGACAAACTTGGGTCATCAAAACAGCTGCAACAAATTAAGTTAGAATAAATGAAAATCCCGGACTAATGTTTATATAGTGTCTTGAGGGTGATGAGCCAGCAGCAGCATTGTGCTCTAGCTTCAGCTAATGATTGCTACAAAAGAAATAATTCAGCAAAGCAAACATCTTCAGGCAAGATAGATACTCAGCTCCATTGTATAGCGTCTGGAATATCTTTAAGCATCTGTTAAAATCCATGTTTCTAAGGTAGACCACTGATAGTGACCCTTAGAATCTGATGAGTTATCTTAACGGGGACTGCAGACAGCATGTATTCTAGTTTTGGTTTGGATTTTATTTTTTGAGGGAGAGGGTGAAATAAATTATTATATGATGTTTAATGATTTTTTTTTTTTCTCCAGCTTCTCTTCTGCAAGGCTTTAAGTCCAACTTTGTATTCTGTAGCGGGTGCTGCAGAGATAAGTCAGCTAGCTGTGAGTGAGCTCTGAAACTGGAAACGGTTGGAAGGGCAGCTCTGTGCTGAGTTAACTAATGGGAAAGCTTAGTGCAGCATTTTGTTTAAGCTAGTGCAGCTATGGTCTGAGCTAGTGTCTATGCATAATGCAGTACTGCACCTAGCAAGTGTACTAGTGTGTGTGGAGCTTGAGGCTCTTTACTCTGCACTCTTGTGCAATGCTGATTGTCTCTGATCTATAGAGAGAGACAATAGGTGTTACACTGCCATACACATCTGAGTATGAAATAAAAGATTGTCATCGCCTTATATAAAACATTCCAGTGCACTTAAAAAGAGGTCTTGCTGCTTTTTGTCATTTGTTGGTAGAATAGTAATGCTAGTTTTTCCTTTTCTTTTGCCTTTAGGTCCGACTGGTGGTAGTTGATGGAATTGCATTTCCTTTTCGCCATGACTTTGAGGACCTCTCACTTCGAACAAGGCTTTTGAATGGTCTGGCCCAACAGCTGATCATCATCGCAAATGATCATAAATCAGCGGTAAGTCTGGGGCGGGTTTAAATCACAAAAGATGCTACTTTGGAATAAATACATTACGAAGAATTAAGCAAATGTGATTTGTGATTGTCTGTAAATAGCAAAATAAAGCTGCAAGAATGTCCTCTACATTCGTGTTTGCCAGTTTGGTTAGTAAATGTAGATGGATCGCACAGACAAAACTGTTTAGGTGGAAAATTCCTAGACTTGCCAAAATAAGTAAAATTTGCATTAAAAGCATCCTGTGGATCTTAATTAAATGGTAGCATATCAATTTGTGGTGCTGTTTCACACCATCTTCTGTAATGATTTAGTTGGACAAGGAATGCTCCTTTGGTGACTTTTACCTACAAAGCACGTGCATTAAAATACGTCAGAGTATTTAGCAGTTCCAATATAATTTTCCACTCTTTGTTTAAAAATAAACTACTGTCTTAGCGGAGGAACTGTTCTTAGTGAGGAAAACCACTTTATCTGCTAGTTTGGCTTGCTGTTCTGGCATCCATGGAAACCCATAGCTTCCTTCCTGGGCATTGTTTCTACATCATTTAGGCCAATATGGAGGCCAGCAAATCTGCAGCCGTGTAGCCAGCAGATGGCACTCAGAAGCTACATCTGTTCCAGAAGTTGTTTTGGCAAGTCTTTTACAGCACAGAAAAGCATTGTTCAGGAATTAGAGCTTACACAGTCTCAAAATGGTGCTTGTGCCTGTAACCGTTTCCAGGTGACTTGCAACCGTGTCACCCACAACTCTCTCGCGCAATTGGCTTTTGTTCCTAACCGCTAAAAATAAGCCTCCCCTTGTGCTTCCTCTGAGTTTTGCTCGACATTCCGCCTGGGTTAGGTGATGGTGCTTGCCGCTGAAAAGCGTACCCTCTCTCTTGCCCTGACACGAATTATGAAGCTTCTTCCTGCTTGATGCACCAAGGGAGACGAATGTTATATGACTGCTTGATTTGCACAGCCTCCGGTTTACTGTGTGCTTTCGCTCATAAATTCGGTACCTGGTGACCTTGAACAGGAGCAGTTGTCATTGTACAGTCTTTTTTTCTTTGGTCAAGGGAAACATATATAACTTATTTCTATTGAACAAGCGAGCAGTTTAGTACAAACGTTTGCTAAATAAACACTTGCTAAAGAAGTGATCAATCACAGAGCTTCAGAAATGATTTAGCTCAGAGTGGCCCTCTTGTTAGTTTTTGCGTTAGTTCCATGCAGCTTGCAAGCAGTCTAAATTCAGCGTGCGTGCCAGAGATTGCTTGTCAGGCGGCAAAGCTGGGCAGTCTGAATGCTCTAATACGGAAGGAAGCTTGTTCCTTTAGTTTCTAAAGCTGAACTCGGTGGGTTGTGCTAGGATGCCCAGACCAGCCCTTCTCCAGCAGTGAGAAGGGGAGTCTCTTTGGGGCTGTTATCATCCCTATATGATGAGTTACTTCTCTAAAACACGCAATACATGTCTTGGGGCTTTCAGCTGTGTAAATGTTTTCATGTGTGCCGCAGTGGGCTCAGTGGAATTGCTTGCTCTAGCACACTTTTCTAACTGTTCAAGCAAGAATCATACAAGCATGTCAAACAATGAAAACCCCTAGGGTTTAAGATGGGTACAATTTTTTATTTTTCATTTTTAATGAACTTTGCAATTAATATTCCTGGCTCTTTTCTGTCTCACCACCCCCACTTCTACCAGGGATCTAACCTAGACTGTCTGTGAACCTCCTACGAGTGATTCGTGCTGCGAAAACACTCCCCCGCTCTGTCTGTTCACTTCCATTCTGCTTTGTATTGTACCCACTTGCGCATTTTTAGACTACAAGGTGCAGAAATTCTGTTAATCACTAGGCTTATGCATGTTTTGAGCAGAACCACCAAGTTCATTTATGCCACAGTGACTGAAATCTATCTCTTTAGAGGGCTAGTACGAGTCATGTGCATCTAAGTACAGATCCAAACAGTATTTAGTACAAATATGATGGAATATACAAGTTGTGTAGAGTTTGCATCCCTTGGGAAGGGAGAAGCTTAGGTTTCTTTAAAGTCTTGAATGAAAGAAATCTACCTTCTATGCAAATTGAAAATATGTTTTGCAGGGTTCTCTTGTTTTATTTTGGCTATTGGGGAAAGATGAGGCACCTTTACAGTTTCTTCTTGTTAACATGAAAGCATCATTACAGTAGGCAAGAGTTTTGCCTGAGTAACTTGATAAAAGCTTTTTGAAAAATCCCTCTCTTCCCTCCCACCAGTAAGCTGCTTTTCTGGAGATGTTCTTGTTTGTTTGCTTTTGTTTCTTCTTTTAGGTAGTTCTGACAAACCAAATGACAACAAGGATTGGACAAAGCCAGTCCACATTGGTACCTGCTTTAGGTAGGTGTTTAGCTTGCGAGTTGAAAACTGAGTTAATCTTCAACTATATGACTTCCTTTCCTTTGGCATCGTGTATGAAGAAAAATAAATTGTTTGCTGAACTTCTGCAGTGTAGCAGAATCCACGGTGAAACTATTAGACCCATCTGGAACTGCTAGCATTGTGGAACTCTACAGTAGTGCTTATCTACGTCAGCATTATAATTATAATTAGCAACTATCAAATTTTATTCTAAACTTAAACATGGTGTGCAGATTAGAATCCTGGTTAGATTTTTGAAAAGGGATTACAAATATTTTTTAAAGTCATGACATTTTTGGACTGCAGAAACTCACAGATTGAGAGTGCTGCTGGATTTTTTTTTTCCTTTTTAAACCAAAATTTTTAATACTAAACTTGATATTAGAACCATCAGTTTTCCTTAAGATGACTGAATCACCCTTGATGGGGAAGCACTAGGTACTAAGAACTCTGTGAGTAATTAGGTTTTTAGATGTGCAGCTAATGTATTGCAGCCTTCCCCTGAGGATCTGAGGCTGTGGAGTTACCTTTATTCCAGCTGCAGTTGTGTCAGCTAAGGAGGCCACTACCCCTGCTGGAGGTCACTGCCGCATCCTAGATGCTGGCTGAGCTGTTTATGTGATTGTCTCGCAATCCATTTCTGCCAAAAGTGGGCCAGGTAAGCTTGAGCTATTTAAACAATAAGTAAAACTCCGATAAATCAGATAATTTAGACTGAAATTGGCTAGTGAATGATCATGCGAAGTGTAGGGATGGACCTGGGGGCAGTAAACCTCTAGCAAGAATGTGATGACGAACAGGTTAAAACACTAACAGAAGAACACAGCTTAATGGTTGCACACCTCAAACTATGCTGCAATTTCCTGAATTCCCTGAGAATCATTCACGGCCTCTCCAAAACAGCTTAACTTGTTTATTTTGCCATTACACTTGATCACATTCCATTAATTATTTGCAAAGGTGTTTCGTATTTGCTGCATAGCTGGAACTCTCTACCCATTGCTCTCCACAGTTACGATGTAGAGGGAGGTTCTGTGTGGGATCCTCAACTACAGCCCGCCCATAGTGAGTTTCAGTGGTTTTTACAGGCTGCTCCATTTTGCCCTGTAATGAGCAGAGTACCTCATATAGACTCTTCTGCTGAGGTCACAGGGGAAAATAGAACAGTTCTTCTGAAGTAGAGATTTTGACAAATTAAGAAAAAACTCAGCGTTTAAATCTTGTTTCAGGTTGTAACTTTGTATTATTCTGTGATGTACTTAAAGGGCATAAATTCCCTGTCCACAGCTTCAGTTTCCGTGAACTAAGTAATGATTCCCTTGTTCTGGAGGGGAGGGAGAAGAAGGGGACAGCATGAAGGCAAAGATGTTCTCCGTGTCTGTACAGGCATTGAACCATTTGGCACAGATGTAAGATAAAATGAACAAATACAGACCATCTCCTTCAAGAATGTGAAGAATGTGGAATTTTGAGCTCTGCATGCAGATAAAGACCCAGCTTCCAGTATCTGACCTGTTTTGTCATTTTTGCCTCTTGCTCTCTGATGTATTATTTTTGGCAGCCTTTCTGGCTACATACTCAGTTAAAGCTAGTAGATTTTGTCTTTTTTCAATAGCCAGCATTGTTTGAGAGCTGTTGTGTTTATTGAGTCATAGGGACAGTGAAGAGTGTGAAGACATTCAGAGCAGGTTATAATTCAAAGATATCATGTATTGTCTTGCACGTATTTTCTTTTACAAACATTTAATTTGACATAACCTCATATTGACTGTAAACTGGTTGTGACTCTTACCAGAATGTGTGTGTAACCACATAGTACTGTTAACCTGCGTAGTGTGTACTCCTGCAAAAATGAAACTTTGTACCAGTTGGTAAAATGGTTAAGCTAAGAGATATTCTCCTCATCCTAAATATCTCAAGTTGAGCATTTCAGAGTGGTACAAAGCTGTCTTCATTTTGATGTGAGTTTATTCCATAGACTCGGTGCAAGTATTGCCCTGGTGGATTACAAGGTGATTTTTACAACTCACTCTGAAGGGATGCTATTTCTACAGTCTCATCGTAAAGGCTAAAGAACCTCCTACTCCTCCATGGTCGGTTGCAGCCAAAGGAACTATTGAGGGAGGGGTCAGCAGCAAAACCCCAAGTAAAATCAATCCTATTGCCTCCCCTAAGTAGTTTTTTTCCCCCATTGATTGGTAAGCCTTAGAAACAGCCTTTTCTAAGATTTCACAAGAGCATTAATCTCTAAACTCTTATTCAGCTTCCTAGCAGAAGGGAAGTTCTTAATTATGAAGAGAAAAAAAAAAAAAGCACAGATGCTGCAAGGTATTAAGTCAAGAGCTTTATGAAGGGGACAGCTTTCTTTCCCACTAGTGATAGCTAAGCTGGGTGTTCCTAGACATTCCTACTGGGTATATTTAGAAAGGAGGTCAAATATTAATCTACAGCCAGTTTAACTCAGAAATATCTCACTTTACAGTAACATTTTTCTCTCATATTTGATACAGTTGGAAACATTCTGGTGTGGAATTTGTACCCATTGTAAAATGTGTTGTGATCTCTGACTCGGAACCGTATCTGATAGCCAAAATCTTTAATCTCAACTGAGATATAGTGGAGCATGGTCTGGCAAGATGCCTAGAGGGTCTGGGTCTTCGTTACAGTTGAATCATTTTTTTTTCTTCTCTGTGCTACAATGAATACCAGAGCACATGGGGCATGCGGGGCTGGTGACATGATGGAGACCAACAAGTGATTCAGAAGTCACAGGGCTGTGCGCAGGTGAACAGGAGAGGCTTGCAGCACTTAAACCAAAATGACTGGTTTAAAATGCAATCCATCTTTGGACTACTGACTGGCTCCTGGGATAAACAGAGGAAAACACCCAATAAAACTGTCTATAAATTGACTGAGCTTGTGGTCAGGTGTGAACTGAAACAGTAGGACTGTTTCCCCTGAAATAGGATAACAATCCAAACTTCCTTCTCTTTTCACCGTGCCCCCACGCCCCTTGCTTTTGGTTGTGTTCTTTTGCATTTTGCTGTCAGAAGCAGAAGACTGCTTCAGGGGCCCTTAATACTTTAATAATTATTGACTTTCTCCCAAAGCTTGTATCCCAAAGGGAGTGATGTTTGCTCATAATTATGCCTGAGAGACAGAATATTGCAATTTTGAAGTAGGATTTAGACATACTCACTAGACTTCTTCAGCAGTAATTAGAAAAATCTTTTCTTCATGCTGCCTCTGTTTTCAAGATTTGTGTAGTACCTGTCCTTTATTAGGTATACATAAAATCTTTCTACAAATATGGAAGTATTGCATCAAGCTTTCTATAGAACACACTGTGAGTACAGGGGTTATTCCTTGTCTCAATATATTTGATAAACTAGTTGTGAAATGCTTGCGCATATGAAAAAGATGTGATTCATTACCGCAAGAAAGGTATGTATATTTTAATCATGGGGGTTTTTTTGGAAGACTGGTCTAATTTCAGTTCAGTTTACTGATGATGCTGCTGCTTTAGGAGATAAATAAAATGGCCTGTCATTTTGTGTCACCCAGGAGAAAGCTGGGGACATGCTGCCACTGTCCGTTTAATCTTTCACTGGGACAACAGTCAGAGGTAAGTGAAAGCGTAGGCTGGTAAGGTACACAATAATGCTGTCAGGTACAGAATAATCCCAGTCTTTTTCAGACTGGCCCTAGTGGCCAAGCAGTGATTTGAATTTGACTTAATTTGACTTCTGGCCTTGGTCTGCCATGTCCCAGGCTACTGAGGCTCAAGAAGAGCTTTCTAGTTCAGCCTAAGGCAGTGTGGGCCGAACTGTCATGCTCCTCCTTCTCCCCATGGTCAGCTTGCTGCAGTGCTATACCTTCTTTCTGACAAAATGCCATGTCTCATCAAAATAGAACATCCTAATGGCAGTTGGATCTGGTGGCTAATTAGAAATTTTTTTTTACTATCTGCATTTTGTAAGCAGGGAGTAGAATTTCTTTGCTTCAGTCTTTTTTTTTTTTAGGCCCCAGTCAGTGCAAAGCCAAAGATGCCAAAGAAGGTTTTCCAGCTAGATGGTGATTCTCAGGAGGACAGACCGTAGGCCTACTGACCCCTGAGCCTCAGTGGCAGCCGTTGGACTTTTCTGCTTTGGAATGCAGCAAGACGGTTCTGCAAAACCAGACAGCTATGCAGATACCGAGTCAGTGACCTGCAGAGAGGCAGAGAGAGCGCTGCATTTACTCCCAGTGCAGAGCTGACCTATGGAGGATGGTTTTAGAAGCCCAAAGGAATGAGGATGACCCTTCTAAAAACAGTATGAAGTTCTGTCGGTTGCAGTGAGATCTTTTCTGTTTCCTGGTTTTTTTTTTTTTCCCCTGTTCACTATATTGCAAGTTCACTTCTCTTTCCTGGTTGGTTAAATTTGTCTTGTATATAGTATTACAATGCAGCAACTTGAGATTAAGCAGCCTTCCTTCAATACCCTAATCTTCTGCAAACAGCGAACAAAAATGCTACTGGAATGTTGTTGTGCATATTTGTGCTTGTTAAACTTGAAAGAGAAATGCAGTGACACTTTCTTGCAGAGTTTTGGTTTTTTAAATTCTGAGTTTGAAGGCAATGCAGAATGATTACAGCAGGCTGTTTAATTTGGAATTAAATTAACATCACTGATTAGTTAACAGCCTTTATAAGGCAGAGGTTGCATCAACATAATGATTGCACAGTGAACAAAAGTTAATTTTATGTATCAAAAGTAAAGAGCTTTTTTCTTCTGCAACGCAGCTAGGAAGGCTGTAGATACAGGTTCCAGAAAGAAAGCCAAGATAGACAAACATGTTTTATTTACTGTTCTAAACATGCAGCTAATATGGAGCGGGGCCTGCACAAGCACAGCAATTCCGATTACAACTGCCTATCTGTAAAAAGCAGAAATAGCTAGATTCTGTTGCATTTTTACACTACCTACCTATACCCGATGAGCCATCGTGGTTTTGTTGTTCTTGTGTTTATATTAGGTTATGGAGGCACAAAGATGACCATTTGAGAATCCATTTGCCTTTTTTTAAATTGTGCTTTGGCCAAATATGATACCTGTCTCTTTCTTTCTCTCTACTACTGAAAATGTCAGAGCTTAATTATAAGGGTTCTCATTGCTGTGAGGAAAGATCCTGTTGAGTCGGAGGCATGCAGCAGAGCTCCAGCTGAGTGCTTGTAAAAGCACGGCTTCTGCAGCTTCAGATTTAGGCTATTTTGTAGAGTATAACCCACCACTTCAATGTTCTGAGGAATTCCCTGTGTAGCTAATATGAAGTGACAGTGTTCCTCAGGCTGTAATTACGTGCTCTCTAATAGAATGGCACCTCAGGGAGGAAAAAAAAAAAAAGCCAAAATAATTAACAGGATCTTTGGCAGGGTGTCTTGATACAGAGAGCAGAACACTTTCTGTATTGGCTTTTCATAAGTGTACGTTTTGGGGAGGTGGGCATGGTGCAGACTAGCAGCCTTGGATTGGTTGAAAAATCCCTTGCTTTTGAGCTACTTTGCAATCTTCTGTCTATATTATGCAAGCATCTATTGGGATAGGTGCTGTATAAGCACAAATCAAGATGCATTGCTTAGAGTCTAAATGCACAAAATCAAGGAAGTGTTAGAGGAGAAATACAAGGGAAACGATTTTCTCAAGGTTGTGCTGTATGTCAGTGGCAAGGTCAGGCTTAGAAATAGAACATCGTATTCTCATTCTTCATCCACTAGGTTATATTGACAGGCTTGTGAAGTCTCTAGAAAAAACCTCCCTAGAAGTATTTGAATTCTTGAGGGTATCTCCCAACTTGGAGAGGTCAATGAACAAACGATTGCTTAACGGAGCAGGAAAGAGTTGTGCTCAAAACCTTTTTTTGTTTGCATTTTAAGAAAGTGGCATTTGGAATTAATTCATAATGAATACTGTTCCAAAAATGTGATCAAATACTTTGATGAAACAAGGCTAATTAATCATTCACTCTTTTTAGTAGGTGTATATTGTATTTGAGCTGACAGGTCCTGTAAGGATGGGAATTTGGCATCCACAGTTTAAATGACCTATATGAAAATACATACATAAGAATTCCACTGGTCACCTACCCCGTGACTGTGGGAAAACTTGGGTCTGGTCATTTGGTTACTTGGAATTTTTATTATTGTATTCACTAATCATAATTATCTGTTTTTTTGTTTAACCAGGTTGGCAACATTGTACAAATCACCGAGTCAGAAGGAGTCAACCATACCATATCACATTACAGTTAGTATTTCTTTTGGGATGGAGATACAGAGATGGGAGCAAATTGTTAGCTGTAAAGGAATTTTCAGACACATAGACAAATCTGAGAATGATGTTTGCTTCCTTAGTGTTGCCTTTCAGTTGCTTTCTGAAGGTAACCAGTAATACTGGGATGTCTCCAGGTTTATGAATATCTTGCATCTTTTCTTTTTAGAAAAATGACCCAGCATGTTAGTCCTCTTAAGAGTTAAAACATTTTGATTTCCAGATCAAATTTACAGGCAGCCTGTCCCCATCTGTTCTTGTGCTAGTACTGCTTATTTTATCTGCTCTCGACGTTAACTTTTGGCCTAAGTGCAATTACGGAGGACAGTCATGCACTCTCTGAGCCTTCATTTTGGGAGACCTGAACAAGCCAAGCTGTTTTCTCCCTTGTCAGGTAGGTTATTGTTTTCCTAGTGGCTCTTCTTTGCATCTGTTCCAGTTGAGTTTATCTTTTTAGGACAAGGGTGACCAGAATCATACATGAGGTCTCACCAGTGCTTTGTGCCATACATATTTCCACACCTCTGCTCTAAGTGATACTAAGTGATCTGCTCTGCATGATACAACCTAGGTTGTATTTATCTCTTTCATAGTTCCATCCTACCGGTGACCCTATGACCAGCCAATATATACAGATTTTTCTCTTCTGTCACTATCATATGAGGAGCTTCCAGCTTATGGCTGGAGTCCTTAGTCATCCCTGGTTAAATCTTGTGACTATTTTCTTTTGTAGAGCGCTTAGATACATATTAATGAGAATACATACTGCCTAAGATGTATTTAGGTTTAAGAAAAACCCACCACTCAGCTCTTATATCTTCAAATGTCAGATACATAGGTACATGCCATAACTATTTGCTATGTGTCCTCATGGAAACACGTTGCCATAGCATTTCCTGCAGATTTTAATGCTGCCATAAGATGAGATGTTCAAACTATTGAACAGAAATCAGATTTTTTTTTTCACTGCTGAATGTATTCACCTGGATGGAAGAAATACTGCAAATATATATCTATTCTTAGTTCTGTGAAGACTGGAAGGGTAAGTGGGACTACGTCCCGAGGTTGTTTGGATCATGTGATGTGAGAGTGCAGCCCTTTCTCTCCAGCTGACAAACAGATGGATTTTATCTTACACAGTTTAATTGCCTTTTCCTTTCAGTTTTATATGCATTATAAAACAGCTATGCTCTCTTCTTCTGTGTGAATGCACACATTCTTGAAATACAGTTGAGAGTGTATCCTAATCAAAGATTAGTTAAAATTTAAGATTATCCCTGTGTTTTTTCCCTTAATCCTGTTGAGCTGCTTCAGCAGATGGTTTCTGTAAGTAAAAAATTTATTATCCCTGTTTCTTTCATGAAATTCAGGTCTGATGGTAACAGTCTGCTGTTATCATTTCTCATTCCCATCTCTGTAGTTAAACTGGAAGATGTAAATACACGTTCAGTGTTTCTAAATCTGATCTAGCACGTCTATGTATAACCAGCATACAAAAAAAGATAATTAAAAAAATAAGAAGTTCCTCAAGCCTAGATCCTCAAAGATGTTTAAGCTTATGCAAACTAGATACTTTGGTACCATGGACAAACTGGCTGTTCAGTGCCTGTAAGCCGATGGGGCAGTGTGTAACGTAGTGACCCAGCTCTAGTTCTTTTTCAGCTGTGTCCTTCCCAGCATAATGGCAAGTCAGTCAGCGCTCTGAGCCGGTGTGGAAGCTGTGGAACACCGATCAAATGAAACAGAGTTTCTTTCACAGCCTGATAAGGATTCATTCTTAAATGCAGAGTATAGAAATGTAAATCGATTTATGCACAAGGGAATAAGTAGATCATCTGATTCACCTAAATTTCCCAGGTAATGTGACCTGATTATTTCATCGTGAAAGATAAAGACCCAGGACCTACATTCTGGGTAGGAATTGTCAGTATTTCCCTGAGCTGTGGAGGGTCTGCCAGACTAGCAATTAGAATCCTGCTCAAGTACTAAAGCCATCTACCTTTGTCAATCTTGATGCAGCCTGTAGACGCCAAAAGACATTAAAGAACAATTCAAAATTACTATAGACTATCTGAGCTTTGTAGGTCCTTGGTTCCATTAGCCACGTTCTCGCCATCAAAAAGCCACTAACAAGCTTCACAAAAATACACAAAATTCTTATATTTTTGAGGTGCTATGCCCAGAAGGTTCATGCCTGTAGCTAAACGGAAAACATCCATACTAAGCAGCCTACTTTATCGTGTTCTGGCCTTCATAACCATTGGAATGCTTTCGCTGGGAGTCTAGCATGCTGGATTAAGTGGATTCTTGGCTACAGCTCCACCTTTGTGCCTAAGGGAAGTGGCAGAGATTAGATGCAAGCAGCAATGAAACACTAAACTTGAAGATTCCCCATTATGCTATTTAGAATAACACTTGAGTTGCTTATAATAGCAGAGGGACTGCACAAATTCTGCCCTTGTGGCACCTCTTGCTGTTTGTTCCTTTAAATCATAGCAGGCTGTGTAAGGTGAGGCATTTAGAAACAGAAATTCAGAGATAGAAGACTTAAGCAAAACATTTTTACTGGGTTTTGTTTTGTTTTGGATTGATCTTGGTGTGGGACAGACTGGCATTTTAGAAAAGTCACATGTCTGATAGTAATTCTACCTGCTTTTTCACACTGCACCAACCTAAAATGTCAGCTTTCCTGAATTGCTCTCATCCCCACATTGTCTCTACCTGAGCAGTTAGGATCCCCAAAGCAATTTCTTTTTCTGATTAACCCTGTTTCCTCTCTAAGTCTGCACTGCAGTGAGTCTTCACTGAGCTGTCAGCAGTGCTCCCTGCACAGCATTTGTCTGGAGATGGGAAGACAGACAGTTGCAGGCTTCACCTAACATCTCAGTATCTCCATCTCCATTGATGACATGTTTAACTAACTGATTTTCCAGATCTTTCATATTTTAAAATCTTTTAAAATCATTAAATTGTGAGGTAAGGTAACAGAAAATACAAATGGTACTAAGCCAAATAGATCACTTTAAGCTCTCTCCTGAGTAGCAGCATCTAGTTTTCACTTCTGCATTTCATTTTTGGCAGTTAAAGGTTTTCACCCCATTGTGTCCCATAAATTACTATGCTGGGACAGTCTTTGCAATCTAGAGACTGACTGAGATACGCTGTTCTCTTACAGTGTCTCATTCATGTTTTCAGTTCATTAAGTAGATACATGAAACAAAAATACCCTATGTTTTAGAAATTCACAGTTTTGTTTCTGAAAATGACTGAGGCAATTAATCAGTCATCTCCTTGCTTCTGTGGGAGCCTGAATAAGGGCTGAAGGATTTGGCTTTTAATTTATTTAAATAGGCAACATAAGTTAATTTACAGAGAAGCAGTGCTTCATAGCCATAGGGATTATTAGTGGTAAAATGAAAATGATAGCCTAGTTGGTGAAAATAAAATATCCTTACAAAATAAAATGAGAAGACAGTTATTAGTTGGCATGAGTGTTGAAAAGCTTGCAGTTCTGAGCTTAGCCCTGGTCTATAAACATTCTGTGGCTGCTCATCTAAAATAAATGACAGCATCATACCTTATTCTGATCTTCTGGGAACTAGTTACTCATACTTTATATCCACAGCAGTGTTATCACATGATTTTGCTTATATGTTACAGTCTCATGGCTTCCGAGATGTGCAGCCTCCAGCTGTCACTCAAAATGCAGAAGATACTGAAATGAACCCTCGCAAACGGCCACGGAGAGAAGAGGAAAAGTAACAGCGATTCCAAAGTTGAATGTTAAAAAATGTGTGCTACATGAGAACAGTTGCATAGTGAACGTGCAACCAAAGGTAGCCTGAGAGACTCTAACTTAAAATTCCTTCTCTGGACATTATTTTAACATTAAGACTGCAATATGCAGATTTCTGTCGCAGGAAATTCCTTTGTGTATGGCATAATTTTACTTTTATAATAAAAATCTATGTTTTCTATAACAAGAGGCTTCAGCTTTTTTTGGGGAGATGGAGAGTACTACTTCTTTGGGTAAAGAAACAATGAAATGTGAGCATCTAATACAGTACATTTAATGACACAGGTCTTGATCACTCATCTGGTTTTGCGTGTATCTGAATTTTAACAGGGTTTCATGCAGCAGTCTGCTCACATGCTTCAGACCAGGGCAGAAGGCAGGGGAGCTGCTGATGGATGCTTTAAGAGAAATAACGTGCCTAAGTGCTATGCCAGATGGGGGCATTAGCCCTTACCTGCTGCAAAGTCCTTGATCAAGGACAATCAAAGCAGTGTTTTGAACTTCTTCTTTATCTTGTAGTGGTAACACTAGAGATGAAAGACTAGATCTGAAGGACAAAAGATTTAATCCAGCATGGTAATTTTATGTTCCTATCTTAGTAAGTAAGAATAGTTTACCATCACTCAAGCTTGAACCAAACAACTGCATAGCCCTTAGCTTCCATGTTCTTCTTTTATCACAGCATTCAGAATGCAGATTCTGTAATCAGGATCTGTTTTGTTCGTGGCTTTAATAAAGAGGAAACCCAGGCTTCTTACACACCAGCAATATATTAGCAGCTCCAGAATCTAAACCAAATGAAAGAATGAATGTACACTGAAAGTACAGCAGGGATTTGTCCTCTTTTTATTAAGAGAAAACAAAGCAATAAGATTATTAGAGGAGAAGAAAGGTACTGCAGTGTAAACCAGGAATTCAATTATGAGAAGTGTTTGTCTGTACACATGCACATATATGACCCCTTTCTGGCATAGTGCTTGATAATGTTATAGCTGAGGAAACACAGCCAGCAGGCTAAATGGAGAATTCAAGATGTGGGAGTCACTATCTTTAATTTTTAATTTAGTAACACTAAACTGACATTGCCTTGAAACAAAATTCAGTGCTGAATCTGAGCCACAAAACCTCTCTATTCAAAAAGCTGCAAAAAAAAGTGGCAGTGATGTTTGAATCATTATCATGTTTAGATATAAATTACATAATAAAATATTTAAAGGAAAAGTATTCAATTGCCATGCAGCAAACTGGGCTGTGTCAAAATTTAAAAACTCTGAGTCAGGGAGAAGCTCTGAAGCAAGCATGACATAGAGGAAGCAAGGCATTGGGATTTGTGACTCAGACAAACATTTCAATGCAGGAGACACAGGCAAACAAAAGGATCCTACCGCATGTGATGTCAGCAAGCAAATGCTCCATTTGGGAATAATAGCTTCCTACGTATTGCAGTGCGAGAGGAGGGGGGAGCTAGCACAGTCCACATGCCTACGTAGCCACAAGGAAAACCATCCATTAAGAATGCTGTAGCAGTATTTTAAGAAGCACTGCTGGTTGCTAGTGATCGCTGCTACCTAACGTGTTTGGTATTTATGGAAAAACCCATTTCTCTCAATTTATTGTGTTCTGATTGAATATCCTCAATGCGTTCTTCCCTGTGCAAGGAGAGTAAGGACATGTCTCCAATATACTATTAATTTCACCTGACTGTGGTTTTTTATTTTGTTTGTAGTAGAGTAGCACCCAGAAGCCCCAGCTGAGATGCTGATCCTGCTACACCAAGATAAATCGTTTTCTTTGAGGAAATGTTAGATCTTCCAGTATTCCAGGCATCATTATCAAAATAAAAAAATCGCATATTTACTGGTTAACAGTGGGAGTTACAAAATGTCCAAAGGAAGCACTGGAGGCTCTCTATGCTGAGTTTTTAAATTTTTTTTTTCATATTGAAGCTATTATAAAAATCAGCTCTGTAGGCCAGAACTAGAGAGAAGGATCTGTTGGCGGAGACAAAATTAGATTAAATGAGCCAGATTTCGTTCTCATCTGCTGGAGACAAGGAAGCTGTTTCAGGCTTAGAATTGCGTATAAAGAAAGAATTTGACCGTTGCCTCACCAATAAATCTTCTGCGGCAAGTTGAGATTTTCTTACATGTGCCTGGAATTCTCTTGCATTTCACAGCATCAGTGCACAATAGTGAGTGGCATGAGAGAATTTTATGACTGTACAAAAAGTAAGATTCTAACTAGCCAACGTCACGGCACTGAATCAAAAATAAAATAGGTTGTTTGATTTGCTGCTGAAGTCCCAGTTCTCTGAAAGGCAAGACCTTTAGCCATCATGCTGAGTTTAGAATTATTCCATTTTGTAGGGACAACATTTACTTGTGGTGTAGGAACCTGCTTTGTCACCACAACAAGAATATGGTATCTACCACAGGGCTTGGCAACAGGAAAACACTGTGGTCACAGTATACTTCTTCTCAAGCCTGGAATCCTGCTTTGAAACTCTTCAGTTTGGATAGGGAAAATAACAATTTATTTCTTACTGATTCTATGTGTTCTGCACCTTTTCCATTATGAAACACTGCAAAACCAACTAGCTTCCAACTAGAATAAATTTAAGAAAACACGGAGAAGAAATAGCTTAACTGGAGGTAAGAAGGTGTAGCCAAGGTTCAAGTTATGCAATCAAACAGCCTTGTACTGAATTACAAATTGGTTGACTACTGTGGAAGGAGATTCAGCTGCTAACCTGGATGTTGAATACAGTGCTGAGAAAAGTATGTTTAAAATATAACATCTATTTTTCTATTGAATTTCAGTTACTGTTCCTTTAGTTATTTTGGGGGGACTAAACTTAGAATCAGATTTATTCTAAGATATTTCATGGATTAACAACAAAGGTGAAACCCTTACTGCCTGCCTTTTTCACTCCACCCTTTTTCTGAACAAAATAATAAGATATGTAAGTTGGATGGACAAGTCACTGTGTTCCAGCTTCTCAGAAGATATTGTCTTTACCACACTTGGGATCATAATTATTTAGAAAGGCACATTAAGCTGTATTACACTGTTTTAACACGTTAATTCTATATGAAATATATTTGATTAAGTTTTGAAGTATGGTTTGATGCTTTCTTGTCCTAAGACAGAGTACCTTGAGGGAAATGGAATAAATAGAGTGCTTACATTGCAGTAACACAAACATTACAACAGAGTACATAAGGGAAGAAATACTTCTTTTTACAGGATGAGAACCAGGGAAGTTAACCTGTGATTCCCAAACCAGTTCAAGCACAGCGGCTCTGCTAGGATTATGCACACAGGAGCCCGGCTGTAGGGGAATATGAGCCACCGGCTGCCGGAGCTGGCAGTGTCTCAGGGCCACCGAGCAGCCTGCCCAGCCCTCCTCCGCACCAGTCCTCCCCTCGACTGGAGGAACCAGTGCCAGCTGCTACCTGCTCCAGGGCTTCCCCTCTCCCTGGCTCCCCAGGCTGCGTACTCAACGTCTTGTGGCTTCTAGCCATAGTCTCATTTTGGATGATTAGGGTCAGGAGAGTTGGCTTCCTGTGGCTAGTGCAAGATTTCTTCATTAATGTTCTATACTGAAGAATGAAATCACTGGGAACTGGCCCCCTTCCCAGTACTGAATTTCACCCACAAATGCACCCACTGTTAAACTGTAAGCTACTGTCTTGCTTCCTACAAGCAAGAAATATTCGTACAATAAGCACTATCTATTTATTAGAGAGTCTAAGCTCTACACAGTTTTAACTATATCTATAGAAATAATAAATGGCATTAAAAGCAATAGTTCAATCACTATACAAGCAGTAAAAATGTTAGCTTATATGCTGAAAGGATGCATAGAAAAGTATGTATTTTACTAAGTCATTCTTCAAGAATTATCGCTAATACTGTTCATTTTATTACAAGAATTACTTGCCATTGATTTAAATGGAGCCAGAAAAGCATCAGGATATTAAAAAAAAATCACATCAGTTTCAAACAATGAGAAGGGGGAATGTTTAAAATATAAAATATCTAGCAAGGTATATAGGAAAGTAAAAAGGAAACTGTACAGACCTCAATAAATGGTTCTAATTGGATCTGGATGCTTTTCTCGAAGCCTCCAAATAAGCTGTTTGAATACTTGCTCAGTTTGCTATCACACATTGCATTATTTTGGAGTTTTAAATTTATGACATGTATACTTCTAATACTCTAATTTATTTAGTGTGAACCACTGCAATTTTAGCAACACAGTTACAACTACACTTACTTAGTGATTCTTTTCATATTATATATGTTGCTAAAATGAAATGTTTTGGACTAAAGAACAAGTTGTCTCCTTAGCATGAAAATTATGCCTATAAAGTATAGCATGTCCATATGAGATTGTAACAGAATTTGTAACACCTTTTTTTACTGTATAAGCTTACTACGCGTTTGACTGTAAATGTTATGGAATACATCACATAAATGTATCTCTAAATTCATTCATTATTTTGTATAACACAAATTTCTGTGTCTAAATCATAGAATTCGAGGCTGTTCAAAGTAGTCAGCATTGGCTGCATACATACTTTAAAGTCTGTGAATCCTACCGTTCTATTTTACCTGTACTCTTATAGCACATGTATTACAATAAAGGCCAGAGTCTGGACATGACAGTGGTTGGTTTCTGGCACTCATGTAAGTGGCTGATTTTTTAAGGTGGGGTTTTTTTTTTCTTTTTAAGAGACATTTCTAAATAGGTGACTGTAAAATTCAAGGTCTCGTGACTGGAGCACGATATCACAGAATCGGGAATCTGATCTACAGTAAGATAATGAACATGTCATTTAAAGTAAGTCTGTGGAAAAAACAATATAATCGGTTTAAAAATATAATTTTTTAAATCCCACTAGGCACCTGCGTTAACAAGCCTGGCTTAAACTTTGCTTTCATTTTAGGATGAACTTCACCCTCCACCCCAAAAGGGCAGAATATGCACACACCATTAAATCCCTAGAACAGAGTATAAACGGGATTTTAGTGGTACACCATTTTGTATTGCCTCCTTTGAGGAAAAGTGAGCTTCGGGCTTAGGAATTCCTTAGTGCGATATTCACACAGGCTTAGGAATTCCAGTAGTGCGATATTCACACAGTACTGCGGGACTTCAGCCTCAGATGAAATGTGTTGCAAAAATGGAAAGTACAGAGGAAGGGCCTGGCACAGTAACACTGCCAGCAAGCTCTGTTGTTTGCTGATATCCAGGAGGTCTGCGCCCCTCATCTCCGTTTAGCAGTAAAAGGAAATTATGATAATGAAGAGTGACTGACTGCTGAAGTGGATCAACCTTAACAAGAAGATATTGGACTCTGGTGTGCTCCTGCCTGCAGGATGATCTCATGATTTGACAACACCCAGACCACATTACTAAGTGTTATGTGGTCAGCTGTGTTTTGTTGAGGCAATCCCATGGGCACTAATCTACAGGCACACTTCAATCAGTCAGTCATATGTTCTATGATGTAACATTTTATCTTTGCCTTTGTTAATGGGAAGCAAGGTATGTTGTGCTGTATCTGCTTTGACAGTGTTCCAAACCTGTTTAGTCATTTTGAAGGGCTCAGCTTTTCATTAGTTCTTTCTTCCACATACTTTGCTCCAACAGATTTCCAAATCTAAATCGGCATGGACTAATATTCTGTTTCTCACTATTGCTATTCAAAGAACCCCCTTTCCTAAACAGGGGTCTGAATGGAAGGCTGGAAATGGAATTTTCCTTTGGAATGGGATTGGAAATTTCCATGACAGCTGGAAATGGGACTCAGGCCTGAAATCCTGTGTTTTGCAATGGATATGGATATTTCAGAATAATCTTTGACTATTAAACTGGAAAAGCTGACTTGACCTCAAAACCCTTTTCTTTTAGAAAGCAAAAAAAAAAAAAAGGCAAGAGAAAGAAATAGAGATAAGGACATTGGTATTTAAGAACATCCTAATACAGTACTTGTTCTGGTAAAGGAGCCAGTAGAACTGTGGTAACAGAAGTTACTCTGCTTTTTAAAACTGCAGCTGAACAAAGACTGAACCTAAGAAAATTAACTGGAGCCTGATGCAGCTTGTCAACCAGAGCTTTCTCACTGTATTCCTTTCAAATTCTTGCTGTTCTTACTCTTAAGCAACTGAAATTATTTTAGTGAGTTGAACAATAATTACTTCATTGAGTTTGAAGGGCTATAAAAAGAACAGACATATATATTCACATTCACAAGGTGACTGATATTGATCATGTGAATACATATAAAGAATTTTATCTCTTTCAACGGTGTATTGCAAGCATCATTTCATGTATTATCCCGTATACAACACTACATGACATTCAACAGTAGAAGTGCCTTCAAAATGAGAACAGCCAAAGGCTTGGAAACACTTGTACTTCTGGTGGTTTCATCTGGCCAGGAAAACAGAATATAACTGCTAAAATTACTTCTGGTTTATTGCAAAAGCCCTACTTTTTAAAGAGATCACTTTAGAAAGGCAATTTATTTACCATTGGGTTTTCCCATGATACTCTTTTGTATGGTATTGGAGCGTATATCATAGGTATATTAAATATTGTCAAATCATTCTTAATGCTCCTACATGTTTTCTACTTGTAAGAGTACAGGAATCACTTCCACAGGTTACAAAAAAATTAAAAAGCACTTCTTTTTGCACTCCACACAATTCAGGTCACCTCCCCAAGGCCTGCTCAAATCCTGCTTATTTCTCACCAGCAAAATGAGAAAGAGGAAGACATCGTTTTAAGGCTAAAATAAAACAGATTTCTTCCAACACAACGCTGTAAAATCTTATTTAAAAAAAAAAAGCAACATGATGAAGCCAGAAAGGACACAAACACCTGTTTCCTTCTCAAGTCAGGTGCAAGTCTTATCTCCTATTTGACAACATGTTGTAAACCAACGATTTCAGACTCAAAATTTTATTGTGACTTTATTCCATCCACCTAACCTCATCACGTAGGAACCATTCATCTCCTGCTACCCAGCAATCCAGAGCACACTGAGGCATTCTAAATTTAGCTTCCAGAGGTACTGAACACTAAAAAACATTTCATAATAGTACCAAACACGCCTCTCATAGATTAGTGCTTTACTTGATAATACATTTTATTTAGAGCTTCCTTTTCTGGACAGCAGTAAGTGACAGCGTGGCTACCTTCTGTGGTAATTGCCCACCCCACTGTCTCCACACAGTGAAGTGATAGCAGGTTCCTGGCTGCCTAACTTAGCCATGCCACCCACAGCTACCATATGTTCCACATTGCAGGTTAATAAGAATGGTTTTTCACCTTTCCCTCCCAGAAACAAATGTCAGCATGGCTTAGAGCCATCAACTCTTTATTTAATATTGAAGCAAAACAATACTAACGTGACCGTAGTGCCAAAACTTGACAAAGTATCCTGAATACAAAGTTCTACTCTATTTCATTTTAATTAGTGTCCTTCGCAATTAGACAAATGATGAAAAGCACATGGGGACTGCCAAGATGAATCAAGGACATCTGGTAACTTTAACATTTCAACATGAAACAGAGTAGGTATTACTCTCAGATACTCTATGGTGTTTGAAACAACTAAAAAAATATATGATCAACAAAATTTTTAAGAAAAAGACTATCTAAATGCTTTTGAATCTTTTCTTGGACAGCCTTAATTGCTGTTTGTCATACAACATGAATCTGATCATGCATTGATTGAATTAGCTGTTATTTCCCTAAGATATTGTTACCATAGGCATTTGTAGAATTGAGATCATATTACACTATCTGGATTATAGTTTCTTAGAAACTCCAACTGCCTCTGAATTACTAGTGAAAAACAACTAATTATGAACTTAAAACTACTTTTTTGATACTTGCGCTGATGTGGCTTCTCTTGAGGCTTGTGACTCACCGATGATACAGTACACACAAACCTAAAAAAAAAAAAAAAAACCAAGATCCAGCAATGACGTCATCAGGTGCAATTGTGGGCTATCTTTTCAAAAAGAACCACGATGTTTTTTACCCCTCAAACCCACCTGGCATTCCTAAAGAAATGAATGTTAAATTGAAAATATATAAATGGTATACTGAAAAAAAAAACCACTTAGAGATATTCTTTCAGGAGACACTATGCAATTTTCTGTCACTTTAATAGCTTTTGGCTATGAAAGACTAAGACTAACTGTGACAATCACATTTTTAACTCTCATGGCTTTTACATATTCACAAGATGGCAATATGACCAGTCAATTCAGTTGCTGGAAATATTCTAAAATTAGTTTGGCTCTGAAATAACAATTCACCAAACAGAAGACAGATTTACAGCAGCACCTGACATGCAGAGGTAATTACTACAACGCAGGGAACAACAGGTTTCAGCAAGCTACTGTCCTTGTTATAATCCATTAAAATTTAAGAATATTTTTGCATACGAGCCTTGTGATTTGGCCATTTTTCAAGGTATATCTGACATTAAGGATATCGTTCCTTCCCCTGCGTACAAGCTATTTTAAATGTGTGGCAATTATACCTGTTGGTATTTATGGACCTGATCACTCTGAAAATAGCTTTTCAGCAGCAATGAAGAAAACAAGCCAAAATGCCTTTCAGAAATGAAAGATGCTTGTTAGACAGCAGCACAATATCAACCACAGTTTGTCTCCCACTGACTGGCTGTAACTTTTAAGTTTCATTTGGTGTTTTAACATCTTCAGGTACTTATGAACTCCCCTTTGCCAGACCATGGAATGCGCAGATATCATGTCATGTAGCATTTATGAACCCATATGGCTATTCGTATGCCGATCTTGAATGTAAAGTAGCGTCAGAAGTTTTGTTGCTAAGTGCTGGAAACGGGCAGACCCCAGAGCTGCCCTTCCCGGGAATGCGGGGAGTCCTGGGAAGGGCAAGGGCTGAGGAGCCGGGGGCCCACGGCCCCACCGCCGCGGCAAGGGCGGGCAGCTCGGCCCGGGCCCCACACGACGGCCCGCCCCGCCGGGTCACCCTCGGCCGCGCAGGCTACACCACACGCTTTCCGAAAAGCACTTTTTTTTTTCTGACCCACAGCAGGAGGCGAGGCCGGGCCGAGCCGCCCCCAGCCCCGGCCCCGCTTACCCGCCGTCCCCGACCTGGCAACGAGCGGGAGCCCGCGGAGGCGACACCGGCGCCGGAAACGATGAGCGCAGGGAAATCCTGAGGCAGGGATTAGGTAATAGGGAACGCGCTCTCAGGTTTCCTTCGGGTTCCTGTGAGGAACCTACGCGTCTGGCTGCCTTCGCATGACTCATCACATCGGCGCGGTTGTCAGCGCGGCTGTCAGCGCGCCTGCCCTCCACCTGCCTCCCCCCGTCCGCTCTCCGCCCGCTCGCCCCCCTTCCCTGCCCTGCCCTGCCCTTCCCTTCCCTTCCCTTCCCGCCGCGGGCCGAGCCGCCCCCTCCG